GTATCTCAGAACAATTTTATGCGGTCATATTATGTAATACAAACTTTATAGATGTAGCAAATTCAGTCAACTTTATTGCCGCGAAATCAACAGTCGTATAATTACATGTTTAGATGTCGAGTGCGTTTTTAAATTTATTATTATAAAAGCTATATACTTTATGATATATATACTGTATATATATATATTTTTTTTTTTTTGAATTGTTATTTATCTTTTAGTAAAGATCTGGAGGCAAATTTTGGATCTTATTAAAAACCCGTATCCAATACCTCACATCATTCCATTACCTCCCATGCCTCCCATGCCTCCCAAACCAGCGGCACCAATACCGGAACCTTTTTCCTCTAAATCGTTTATAATAAATGAAATAAAAGAATTTAGTTCGAAAGACAAAGACGAAGCCGACGCATTTTATTCTAAAAAGCTACTGACCGGGAGCATCTGTAATCATACATTCTGTTGTTGTCAATAAACTTGCCACGCCGGAAGAGTCAACAAGAGCTGTTCTCACAACTTTCAGGGGATCCACAATTCCGCGCGAAATCAGATCCCCGTATTCACCAATGGCAGCATCATAACCGTAGTTAAAGTCATCACCATGATCCCCCAATAGTTTTCCCACAATGACCGCGCCTTCTTCTCCGGCATTGTCTATAATCGTTCGTGCTGGCTTTTGAAGGGCAGATTTAATAATATCTATACCCAACTTTTGATCAAAATTGGCGGGCTTCAAAGAATCTAGACATTTAGTGGATTTTAAAAGCGCGATTCCACCACCCGGAACAATTCCCTCTTCGACAGCTGCACGCGTGGCATTTAAAGCATCAACAAAGCGATCCTTTTTTTCACCAACCTCGACCTCAGAAGAACCTCCCACCTTAATCACAGCGACACCCCCTGATAATTTAGCAAGACGCTCTTGGAGTTTTTCTTTCTCATAATCTGACACGGATGGATCATTGATGGCAGCGCGAATTTGATCGCACCTCTGATCAATCTGCTCCTTGGAACCTTCTCCATTAAGTAAAATGGTGTCCTCCTTAGTTATAGTAACCGAACCGACTGATCCAAATAGATCTGGTGTGAAACGTTCAAGTTTGGTATCCAACTCATCCGAAAAAACCGTTCCACCGGTTAAAATCGCCAAATCGCCCAAAATAGATTTACGGTTGTCACCAAAACCTGGTGCCTTAACGGCGACGACCTGAACATTCCCACGAAGTTTGTTTAATATGCAAGCAGCTAAAGCATCACCATCAATATCTTCAGCAACAATCAGAAGCGGCCTGCGCTGTTGAGCTGAGGCATCTAGAACCGGAAGAATGTCTTGAAGAACTGATATCTTCTTTTCAGACAAAAGGATCAAGGGCTTCTCAAATTCAACTTTTTGAGTTTTAACATCAGTTATAAAATAAGGGGAGATATATCCACGGTCAAATCTCATTCCCTCGGTTATTTCGAGTTCATCTTCAATAGTCTTGCCTTCCTTTACTGTGATAACTCCTTCCTTTCCAACTTTTTCCATAGCACTCGCGATAAGCTTACCAACATGCGTGTCACCGTTCGCCGAAATGGTAGCAACCTAAAACCATTAATCGATAATTAATATCTCTCCTAACAGTTCACAATCTTGACAGCGGTGTCTACACTCACCTGAGCAATCTCTTCACTGGTGGTGATTACACGACTGTGATCTCTCAAAAATTTAACAATCGCATCAACAGCCAATTGAACACCGCGGCGGAGATCCATAGGATTACAACCAGCAGCAACATTCTTCACTCCTTCGACAAAAATTGCACGTGTAAGAATTGTAGCCGTAGTCGTACCGTCCCCGGCAATCTCGTTCGTCTTATTGGCAACATCTTGAACCAACCTGTAAAACACAAAACTCCATTAGATAAATACTATGTGAGCGCGTAAATATGTTCGATAAAATTGTTTGATCTAACAAACACAAATATCGAGGACTTTAGCGCGATTAATATGTCCCAGAATATAACTATTTTATCTATCACTCTAGGACGATATGATGGTCCGATGAAATCCGCCGATACGAATATAAAAAATTCTTCGATTCATGTTACACTGCAACAATATCATGTGATAAACGCGCTCTTATTTCGCGCAGAAAGTAAATTTTATTTTGGAATCAGTGTAACATTAGAATTACCTGGCCCCAAGATTTTCAAATTTATCTTGAAGTGTTATACTTTTGGCTACAGTAACGCCGTCTTTCGTAATTTTTGGACTTCCATAAGGTTGCTCAATTATCACGCTACGCCCCTTAGGACCCAGTGTAACTGCAACAGCTTTTGACAATACGTCGATGCCTTTTAGCAAAGACGCACGTCCCTCAACGGCAAATTTGAGCTCTTTATGAGTAGCATAATGTCGTGATAGCATGGTTGTTCCTAAATTTTTGTTTTTCACGGAAAGGCGTGTCGAAAAATGAACAAATCGAGATTTGTTAAGTAGTGAAGCACGCTGCATTATGGTCGGGTATAATGAGGGGTAATGTATAACTGACTAAGACCAAATAAAAAAATCTGGTAGTTTCGTGAATTTAAGATGTCCGAAATAAAAAATTTTTTTTTTCAACTGCGATGAATTTCTCGTCTTTTATTGGCCAACAATAAAATTCTTCCATCAGTTTCTAAAATCCCGAGTTTCGGACGATTTCGGTAAGTATTTCTCGTGAATGGAAATTTGTAGAATGTTCTTGGTAATAATAGCAGCAATCGATCTGATCTTGCAGTATGATAAAATAAAAAAATTTGAACCTCCTCTTTCCTGAATTTCAGGACATACTAACGATGGTACGCGTTTATTGTAATGCACACTTTCCGTTTATTCTACTGATTCTTTTTTTTTCATATTTCCAGGCCGTCACCGTGAAAAATGTCAAATCTATTATTCCACTTCTCGATCGCGTGCTTGTACAGCGTATCAAAGCTCAACAGGTTTATCAGAAAAAAATTTTTTTTTTACATTCTTCAGTTGAGCTCATGCAAATTTGTCCTCTTAGAAAACTGCTGCCGGCATTTTGATCCCCGAAAAATCATTAGAAACGTTGAACGAAGGAGAAGTTATATCCGTGGGCAAAGGTTCATTGGATAAGGTATTTATGTACTCGAGGGACTTTAAGGGAATGCTCATATTTACTGACGTGTATTATCACGTGGACAATGTTTTAAGGATGGAAAACACATCCCCAATCAAGTTAAACCAGGAGACCGTGTCCTCCTTCCCTCATACGGAGGAAGTACCATCAAAGTAGATGATGAGGTAAATTTAATTAAACTGCGTCAAATTTTTATTCTCATTCGATTATTACTAATCATTTCATTCTTTCAGGAGTATACTTTATTCAGAGACTCGGAAATCCTAGCCAAGATCGAAAAGTCTTGATCTTATACATTTTCTTGACGTAAGTCTCATGTCAATTCTTGACTAGCATTTATAAATGCTCCCAGATATAACGCATGTTATTGATTTCTAACTTTCAGGTCCTCTATTTTTAGATTTATCAAAGTTTAAGTTTCCTTCTTATGACACGCATTTACTTTCAAAAAAACCAATATTTACCAATAAAAATTCAATAAACTTCTGACCAATCAATAAACTATCATCGTCTTGGTCTGCAGCTTTCAGGCACATTTGGGAGAATTCTGGGTCAAAGATACCTTTCTTTTGTCGATGCTTAACTAATTCTTTGACCACGCCTCCAACAAATTCTGGGTGACCTTGAATAGTGAAAACATGATTTCCTTTTACCATTCCTTGTATTGAAGATATCTCCGTGCTTCCTAGATTAGTAAAATCTGGAGGAACGAGACAGACATGATCCTAAAAACAATGTGTCAATAATTTTAGTCGAAGCTAATGTCCGAATAGAAGTATTCTGAATTGTACCTGGTGCATTTCTTGAAGACGCTTCATAGGATGTTATTTAATCGTCATTTTTAAATAAGAACGGATCTGTTATGTTTTTCTGTTAAAACCTACCAAGAATTTTTTATCAGTATTAAAGAATTTTCTTCCATCTTCGTTCAGTAAAATTTCTGTCACTGCAACCTAGAAATGAAAAGGGAAATGTGTAAACATACTGACTCGAGATGATTTAACTTTTAACGTCTGATGGTATCACCTCCCAGCCAATAGGATTTTTAATCACTTTTCCGCCCATGGCTTTAGCAATAATTTGGTGTCCAAAACAAACTCCAATTATTTTGACATTGGGATGATTTTCAATGAGAAATTTTGTGAAATCTGTAAGGCGATTTATCCAAGGAATATCATCATACGCAGAGGCAGCTAATGATCAGATAAAATTGAGTTCGCTTTAGTTTGAGACATTTGCAAATTTAGAAAATAATGACCATACAAGATCCGGAAATAATTATCCCGTCTGTTTCCAACAATTCATTCCTATCCGGAAACTCCATCTTTTGAACCTCAAAAGATTGGATTTTCAACGTTAAGTTTTTGTTTGGACCACTTTCAATGGCTTTTTGCAAGAGTCTCGAAAAGAGTTTTCCGTAATCTCCATAACGTTCAACAACTTCTGGAATAGGTGTGTCGGCAAGAAGAAAAACTAATCTCAGAGTTCTCTCCGGTTTATCTTTGATAGCATCCATAATGCGATCAACATGCTTGATACACCATCCTATATCGATAAAAATTGTCAATCAATTTTTTTTTGTCAACTCGAAGGTAAAGTTTGTTTTTATTATTTTATTATTATTTTTTCAAAGCTATAAAAATTTCCGAAAATTATTTGCATATTCTTAAAGAAAAAATCCATTGTTTAGTAAATCTAAATATAGTATCTCAGAACAATTTTATGCGGTCATATTATGTAATACAAACTTTATAGATGTAGCAAATTCAGTCAACTTTATTAGAGAAAGAAAAAAGGATAATGAATTATAAGGCGCTTTACCATTGTATTATAAATACTATATAAGATATTTTTTATTTATACAATTAAAAATTATAAAATTTATATATAGTATATTATGTCTTAATATTATTTATTATATTTTTTTCAAAAATTTTTATATATCACTTTTAAAGTTTTGTTATTATTAAAGACTTTTTTTCTTTATAAAAATTTTACTTTTAAATAACAATAATAAAACTTTAAAATTTATTTTTTTTTATTATTTATTTATAAAAAATTTTCAAAAAAAACATAAGAAATAAAATAAATATTTAGATATATAATAATATATATAAATTTTATAATTGTTAATTGCATAATTAAAGATTTAAAAATTGTTAAAGTTGAAATTTATAATAAAAATATAGTATAGTGACTTTTAATATTATTGTTTCACAGTATTCAAAATTTTTAAATCATAATATTTCATATTCTAAAAATTATACAATTAATAAATTTTAATAATATATAATTTATAATTTCTTTAATTAAACTTATAAGTTTTATTGATATTTATTTAAAAATTTTTTTAAAAAAGATTCTATAATTGAAAACCTTATGAAACAATAATTTTGATGCAAAATAAAAAAAATATGTATGTATAAATTTTTTGATTTAATTAAAAAATAAATAAATAAATAACAAATCGAATTCATTTATTACTATCTTGTATAACTTTTCTTGACTTTGATTATATCTTTAATTCACTATAATATTGTTTCAATTAGGTTCAAACAGTAATCAACTTCAATTTCATTTTTATTCATTATATCTTATTTTATAAATCTATAATACTAAAAATATTACCAAAAAGTTTTCATAAATAATAATTAATTTCATTCTATAAATGTTTTATTAAATTTAAATTAAATAAATATAATAACTAGTGCCTGACGGCAGATTAAAAATATATATATATATATATATATAACAACTAGTCTAAAATTTTAATTTCATTTTTATTAAGCTATTTTTTAATTATATTTATTATATATTTGAAATTATTGATATATTAAAAAATGATCTTATCATGTTTTAAATTTTATATTCATCAAGTCTTTATAAGTTTATTTTTTTATATCTTATAATATAATTTCTTATTCATCTTTTATAATTTTACAATTTTTTTTTTTTAACCCACTGTCAGATTAGTTATATATGTTTTATTAAATATAATGTAAGTTATATTTTTTACAATGTTACTAAAGCTAAAATGCTAACTAACTCACTTATTTTAGTTTATTATCAAACTCTAAATGCAACTTTGAAAGTGATTTGTTGCTCCACTTATAGTTTGAATGAATACCCTTCTACTATGAACATCATTGCCTATAGTCACTATTACAGATTACTGGTCAAAGTTCTGACTTATTCAACTTTTTTGATAAATAGGACTTTATAGATATGCAAATCATATGGGAAGGCAAAGAAAAAACTTTAACAAGAAAAAACTTAACAAGTAGTAATAAAATAGACTATATTTGGACCTCTTATAGTCTAACAAGTTATTTACTACTTGATTTAATAATCAAGATATGAAAGATATTATAGATAGTAACCATACTATACCCCTAATAATATTACATAACAAAGATCTTTTCATAAGAAGCAGAATCACAAAACCGCCTATAAGTATATTAAAGAAAATTGATTTAAAAGGTATATCTCCTTTATAATAGCAAGCATTTTGTGAAAATATAGATCACAAATTTAAAATATCACTAGAACCATTGTTATAAGAAGAATTCAATTTAGATAAAAGGGAGGATCAGGTAAACAGACTGTAAAAAACTTTTGAAAAATTGTTATATAAAGTAGCCTTTAATAAGCTAACAACAAAAAAAACATTTCAATCAGAAGAAAAATACTATAAATATAATACTGAATTTAACAGTTATAGAAAAGCTCTACAACTTAAAAAACTTTACAATAAAGTAGAAACATCAAAAAAAATAAATAAGTTATAGGCCCTCAATATAGCTATAGAAAACTATAATAATACTTACAACTCTAATCATCAGATTAAAAACTATTGTATCTAACACAGCATTTTTAATATGTCATGGAAATCTTTAAGAAAAAACATCCAAAATATTATAGAAGATCTTAAATTTATATATCAAAGATTGGAAGCAAAAAAAACAAGAAATAGTATCAAAACTGCACTGAAACAAAGATGTAATAACTTGAAAAACAATCAGAGAAGATGGTCAACTCTTTAATCAACTGAACTAGAAATAAAATAGTATTAGATAGAGTTAAGATCAAGCTAAGGGATAATAAATATATTACAACTCAAAAAAATGAAATCAAAAAGGAAATAAGATAGTATTACTGTGAGTAATGATGGGTTCCTAAAGTATTTAGCATATAAAATTTTGCAAAACACTTATGTCACTTTTTGAGAGACAGAATTTATAGCTTTTCACTTTAATAGAAACAAAAATTAGAAAATCTTATAAATTAATGATTTGAATAATAGAAAACAATTGTAGATAGTTTTTTATAGTCATTAATTTAAAAATTTTAATTTTTTCTAGTGAGAAACATTTGACTTTTGTCCCTGCCTCTCTCTTTAGGAACCTATTATTAACTGTAAGACCTTCAAAAAAAGAAAAGCTAGTTATCAGAAGATTGAAAAACAAAATATAAGTCAAGAGAATATATCCAAATATCTTGGTACAATGAATTACTCAAGTCAATCTTACAAGAAGAATTAGAAGAAATATCAAAAGTACTTTTCAATAATAAAGCTTTAAAAAAATCTCAAATTAGTTATGAAATATTGAAATGGTTAAGCCAAGAAGGAAAAAACTTCTTGAGAAGAATGCTGAATAACTTTTTAAGATGTGAAGTTATCCTGAAACATTGGAAACAGAGTCACATATATCCTATAGCAAAATTCAAACCTTGGAACTGTAAACTCTCAAATATTAGATCTATCGTTCTATTAGAGGTTACAAGAAAATGGTTCATCAAAATTCTCACCAACAGAATAGGAAATATTTGTAAAAACAATAATATTCTCAGAGGATCAAACTATGCAGGGCTATCAAGAAAAAGTACAGCAGAACAAATTTAAATTCTCAATAATATCTATAAAGATGTCAGAAAAAATAAAAAAAACTGTGAATACTTTTTCAGAATACAGCAAAAGCATATGATACAATTAGTCTAGATATGCTAGTAAAAGCAATGGAAAAAATCAAAGTCTCAAAAGCTTTATAAAGATTATAATGACTCTTTTCCAAAATAGAGAATTTCAGGTCATATTCAAAAATGATCTCACAAAATCAATAATAGCCAGAAATGAAATTGATTAAGGGAAACTATTTTATCTCTATTATAGAGAATTTTTTATGACCCTCTCCTATACAAAATTTAGAATGATACATAAAGAGGGTACAAAATATCAGTTACATGGAATCCTGATCTTAAAAAATAGGCTATAAGAAAGTTACAATCAAGGTATGCAGCTATAGCCTTTATAGATGACACAATATAGATAACAAGATCTAAGAAGGATATGAAAAAAATTCTAAAAACTGTAAAAATCTTTTATACTGTTAATGGCTCTCAAATAAATGACAACAAATCAGTTTAGTCACTATTAACAATCCTAATAACTATCCAGAAGAGATAAAAGCAATTACTAAAGAAGAAGTGATTAAAGAGCTCGATAGAGTAAAACAGACTAGATTTTTAGGAATCTGAATAGGTAACCAAAAAACAGCAATTGAGCTTAAAGAACAAGTACTTAAAGAGATTAATATAATAACAAGAGTACTTAAACATAAAAAGATGATAGACAAACAAGCTCTCTACATTCTAAATAGAATATTAATATCTAGGATAGAATTTAGAATGCAACATAGTACATTGTCCTAAAAAATATGTAATATCTTAACAACAGTATATAGAAAACTTTTCAAGAATAAGAGCAGTTTATGTAGATCAATGTCCAACAGTATAATTCACCATCCAAAGATCCATAACTTGAAAAATGTTTGGATGCTACAAAGAGAAAACTAAGTAATAGAACTCTGCAATAGACTAAATAATGCTGGACCAGCAGAAATCACAACAATCATTAGATTCAAACAAGCACAGATAAAAAATTGAAAACCACTTAATTAATTAACCTGTAAATCCTTAAGCCATCTAACAGACAAAGATAATTTTCCACTCCAAGTAATCAAAATTGCTAAAGATCTGGGAATAACATTTCATAATAGAAAATGGCAAGATATCTTTGAATAGAAAAAAAAAAACATTTGAATTGAAGAATATCTTGTATCAGAAGAATATAAAAAAGTCATACTATTACTTAAAAACAATCAACTGATGCACCTGGATCAGCTAATTAATTAGAAAACTAAAAAAATAAGAAACTGGTAAATACTTCAGCTTCTATAAGATATAAGCAAAGGATTTATACCAGAATAGTTTCAAATTATAATCAAAAACTTCTCAGAAGAACAAATAAAACAGCTTATAAGATTTGGGAGAGAATATTATATAAAATAAGAACCAAAATATTCAAAAATAGACTCTAATTAAGATAAGCAAAAAAAATTATAAATAGTGATGAGAAATAAAAGAAATCAAGTAACTTAGAGAAAACTAAAATAAGAAAAAAAGGAAAATATTGTGATAATAGAACATTTTTCCAGTTGTAGCTTCAACAATGATCAG